GTTTTCCAACGCCTGGGGTCTCCGCTGATCCAATACAGCACTATCATTGCATCCGACCAGTAGTGTACGGATATGGTGTGATGTGATGCTTGAAGTTGATTGACAATCCAATCGGCTAATTGTGTACACAGCAGGGCTCCGGATAACTGAACTCTCGGAATTGTTAGCGGCTTAACAGGTGTGACTCGACTGCGGGCGGCTAATAAGTTAACCTGCACGGAGCCATCCGTACAACTAGCTCGAAGATAAGCGCATGCTGCATACGCCATGGATGATCCATCACAAAACATGTGTAGTTGCAACGTCGAGGCATGCGTTAAATCGAAGCCTAACCACCGAGGGATGTGTATCTCTTCAATGTCGGGGAGCTCCTGAATGAGCTGTCGCCACCGCTCGGCGAGTTGATCTGGCAATGGGTCGTCCCAATCTAATGATGCGGGGGGCTCATCCTTGCGCTCGATACGAAAACTCCAAACTTCCTTCAACAGGATTTTCGCAGCGATGATCACTGGTGCCAGGTATCCCAACGGATCGAATAAGCGTGCTACTGTGGATAGTATAGAACGTTTGGTGAATATAGGATTGAGAGAAAACTTAAGATTAAAACCAAAACCATCTTTGTTTGGATGCCAATACAACCCTTAAGTTTTAATGGAGTCCTTATTGACTATCTCAAAAATGCTACTGTTAGAGAGATCTGTAGTTGGGATGCTTTCTAAGATATCTGGATGGTTGGATGCCCACTTCTTGAGCTCCATGCCTGCTGATTGCAGAGCTGCGATGACATCATTGCGAATTTTTAGAAATCCGTCGATGGTCTCGTGTCCTGATTGAACATCGTCCACATAGATTTCTTTTTTAAGGACATGCTCGGCCAGAGGATAGCTTTCGCGCTCGTCGGACGCAATCTGATGTATGACTCGAATCGCCGTGAAGGGTGCCGAGGCAGTGCCAAACGTTACTGTAGTCAAAAAATATTCCTTGATGAGTCCCTTTTCATCGCGCCAGAAAATTCGCTGATACTGGGCATCTTCTTCATGCATATCTATGCAGCGATACATTTTCGTTATATCGGCCACGAAGACATACCGATGGAGACGCCAGTTGAGTATAACTCCTCCAAGATCGTTTTGTAGGGCGGGACCCGTGCATAAAATATCATTCAAAGACCTCCCGTTAGACGTTTTGCACGAAGCGTCGTATACGACGCGCATCTTTGTAGTTAAACTGTCGTCTTTGATCACAGCATGATGTGGAACGGTGCACGCAGAGATTGAGAGTTGCCTTTGAGCGTTGATCCTAGTGTGTTCTTCCTCACTACCATTTACCTCTTTTATCTGCTTTAGATCAAAGTACTCTTGAATAGTGCTGGCATACTGTTGACTGAAATCTGGCCGATGATTAAGTTTCCTTTCCAGGGCGTGGAAACGGTTTAATGCGATTTGTCTTGACCGGCCGATCACCTGTGCGGGGTCAAACAACGTTTTTAAAGGCAAACGAACTAGATATTTCCCATTCGGCTGACGGATATGAGTTTGTTGAAAATGGTCCTCACACCATTTTTCCTCTGCGTTGAGTTGTCGTGTTGTGGAGACCTGATCCAATTCGAAAAACCTCTGTACCATGTTGCTTAGGTTTGCCAAATTACAACGGATGGAGATTGATGTCGTCTGGGCTGCTTCAGCTGGTCCAAAAACTATCCAGCCCAGCTGTGTGTTTTGAGCAATCGGTTCTGCAACCGTCCCTTTGCGTATGTCCGGAAGCATTAATTGCGGGATAGTGTCGACACCGATAAGTAGGTCAATGCGACCCGACTTGATGAAATTAGGATCTGCAAAGGATAACCCTTGGAGATGTTTACAGGACTTAATGTTTACATTTTGTTTTGGTAAATGACCTGTTAGTGACCGAAGGATGAAGGCTGAGGATACGTAGGCATTAAAATCCGACCCTGAACATGAGATTATGGTGAAGTCGGTGCTGTGCCTGCACTGATTATGTGACGTATTACCAATTCCCGTGATCTCAGCTCGAACAGGATGCCGTTTGAGTCTAAGCGCTTGAACGATGTTTTCCGTGATGAGGGTGCCTTCCGAGCCATGGTCGATGAGAGCTCGAACTAAAGCTGACTGCCCAGTGGAGTTATTTACGATCCGAACCAGTGCAGTAGCAAGAAGGGTCGTTGAGTTCAGATGGGAGGCAACTGCGCTGAAGAGTTGCGTTGATGGTGCATTTTGTACAGCGGCTGCGCTCCGACCAGAGTCTGAAGCATGCTGTCGGGATACTTCAGGAGTCAATGAAGAACTTTGTTGAGCATTCGGGAAATGTAACAAAGTGTGGTGCCGTTGACCACATTGCGAGCAGTTTCGGTTGCTGCTGCATTGACTGAGAGAATGGGAAGCACTAAGGCAGTTGATGCATGCCTTCGAGCGGTCGACTATAACCTTTCGCGCGAAACAATCCTTGGCAAGGAAGTCCGGGCACCGTCTTAGAACGTGATTCTGTTGGCAGAGCGAGCACCTGATGGATCCAGACTCAAGAGTACTGTGGAAGCTGTGTCCCCTAACAGTGGAGTTTCCCGATGGTCTGGTTGTCTGGCGATGGTTGGTCGATTGTATAGATGATCTAACTGGAACGGCTGGTTTCCTACTCTCGATTAGGTCGATGCTGACCAATCGATTGTGAAGAAACACCTCCAGCTTTGTGAAGGTGGGGATTTCCACGTTGTTGCCCAGGGAATGTTCCCAGGCCTGTGTTGTGCTGATAGGCAGCTTTGTGAGTAAGTGATGTACCAACCAATGATCACAGGAATCAATGGCAATGTGTAGTCGTCGGAATTCACTAATACATACATTTGCCAAGTTTAATAAATTCCCAAGGTCCACCGCGATCTCCTTGGACAGTGGCTCGATTCCGTACAGTGCATTCATATTGTACATGAACTGCAGTCGAAAGTTGTTGTATCGTTTTACCACAAGGTTCCATGCCACTGAATAGTTGGTTTCTGTTAATGCCATATGGTTTATATCCTGGTCTCGTCCGTGCGGTAGTGCTTGCTTCAAGAAATGAAATTTTTGAATGTTTGAAAGAGATTGATTTTCATGTATTAGCTGCGTAAAGCTGTCATAAAAAGATGGCCAATCTGCAAAATTTCCTGAAAAGTGGGCAATTTGGGCAGCTGAATTGTGGAAACAGGAATGGGCACAAGAGTGTTGTTTATGGATTGATCACCTGATACCTGTATTGGGACTGGAAACTTGGTTTCGTATTCATCGGCGAAAGAACAATAAATGTGGCTGTATGCTTGCTCAAAATTGTCTTCAACAGCATCCGCAAAATATGGATGCGATCGTGGACATTGCTGTAAAATAAGCGCTTGATGATTTGTGTAAAATTGTTTTGAAAGCTCGTTGAGCTTGTTGAGGCGAAACTCATACTAGGATTTAGTTTTCTTTATTTGACCGTCCTTTTTAGCATTTTTAATTAGTTGGGTCAACCTGGAAGATAAGTCCATCTGCATTGCGTACATGTCTGCAAAAGGCTCGACCACAGCCAAAGGTGCCGAGCTCTGTTGTGCCAAATCACTACCATTACTTTCATTTTTACCCATTTTAATGTTTTCCTATTGCACTCTGCATTGAAAAACCACGCACAAATACTCTCACAAACACACTCACCTGTTTCAGTCGTTCCGCTCGTGTTGCGATCAAGCTTTGAAGGAAGGGGACGGCAAACTTCACGAGACTAGTGTGTCGCATGAGATGGCAATAGGCATGGGTTGAATCCGCTATTCTCCTCGACTTCTTGATTCCTCCGTTATTCGAGGCTCCATTATGGCGATGTACGTGGCAAAGGTTGCGTAACTTTGCTGGTTTAAATTAATAGTAGATTTGCAAACAAGTAAGCACAAAGATTGAAGTATGTTTACAAATATTGGAAGCTGATGAAGTTATGAGTGTATGTTCCCCTCATGGGCCACCAAAAATGTTGTGACGATTCGCACCCGATCGTCAAAGTTGAGCAGAAGTCTACTCTGGGGGTCTTTCACACACTTTGTAATAAAAACTCAGAAATATGTTGAACTTCACTAGCTATATTCATTTATATACTTCCAATCTTTGATTTATTGCTAACTTTGATTTACAAATTCGAAAATATAAAAGCTCGGTTATAAACGCGACCAGCTCTCCTTATGTCTTCTTCGTAATGTAGTGCTGCTAAAATTAGCAGCAGAAATCTAACATTCGCTGTTAAAACTGCTGTTGTCCACTGCTTCTCAGAGTCGCCAGAAAACAGCTGTCCAGCTTCTCCTAATCGACAGAAACACTCGTTCAACATTTATATTAATATATGTTTGTTAAACGTCAACAAACATCACAATAATAGCAATAGGTAAATTGGCCAGAGGAAAGAGGGGAAAAGGACAAATTGTTTAAACTGTTAAATATTCAATTAATAAGTTAGCCGCGCACTCTGCTCTTTCCTTGCGTTGGCAGCGCTTTACATTCTCATTTTTTTGTCACGCTGTTGTTTCAGCTTGCGCTGAGAAAGAAAGAGCAAGACAAAACATACTAATAACATTTATATTAATGTACGCGCACTGTGCTCTTTCCATGCGTTGGCAGCGCTTTACATTCTCATTTTTTTGTCACGCTGTTGTTTCAGCTGGCGCTGAGACAGAGAGAGCAAGACAAAACATACTAATAACATTTATATAAATGTACAATGTACATTTAAACAACTTTTAAGCGTTTTGTGTATATAAAGTACATAGCTTAATAGAGTTATATTCGCAGCGCAATTCAGTTTGCAACTATTTACACGCAAACATACATATGCAAATATATGTCCTTATCTGGCTCTGACATCATTGATTTTCCTAGCTCCTTGGGATGTTTGTAGGCGTTGGAGTGGGCGTGGCAATAATTTTATGGGGCAGTCTATAGGTACTGATTAAATCAATGCATATGCATATCTGATAAAAGACATATCAGAACGATTTACAAAGCTGTAAAGTTTTTCGCGCCAATTTTACGTGCTCGGATTTTTGGTCCTTTTACTCCAATCTTCCGTGTCATTTGGCCCATGTGAATGCACTGCCGTAAGAAAAAATGGAAAGAAAAGAGAAAAGTTTAGCAATTTAAATCATACATTAACCTGATCGGAATTAGGTAAATAAAATTGGCAGACCAATGAACTGGTGTTAAAATATAGCCAAAAAGTGGAAAAAATTAAGTGGCTTATTATTCAATAGAATAAGTTAGCCCCGCACTCTGCTCTCTCTTAGCGTTGGCCTTTCATTCTCATTTTTTATTCCGCTTTGTTTCAGCCTGCGCCAAGAGAGAGCAAGACATAAAATAGACTAAATACATTTATATTAATATATGTTTGTTAAGCATCAACAAACAACACAATAATAGCAATAGGTAAATTGGCCAGAGGACAGAGGGGAAAAGAACAAAAAGCTTAAATTGTTAAATATTCAATAAAATATGTTAGACGCTCACTCTGCTCTCTCTTAGCGTTGGTAGCGCTTTTTGCTTTGCTGCTAAGTTCGGCCGGCCACTATTTACATACACACATGCCTAAAAACATTTCGCATTGTCTGGCTCTGACATCATAGCATTTCTTCTGGGAAGGCTGTGAGCGTTAGAATGGGCGTTTTTATTAAGTAAATCGATAGGTATTGACGGGACCAATACATTTCAGTTAAATTTGTATTTCTAGCATCAAAACTGTGGGCGCCACAGTTTTTCGCGGCTTGTGGGCGTAAGAGTGGGGGTGGCATATTCGCGAAACAGACTTGTGTACAAGGCTACGATGTTCAGTCCCACGGTACTTGGTTCGTACACACAGCTGATATCTCTGCCAACTGAAGACGAAGGTCAGGACATCTGGCAACTCGACAGAGCTTGCCAAAAAGAAAAGAGAACTACGAGCTTCAGCGACCGGAACAACATCGTCTGCATTTACTTTCTGTACAGTGCGACCCATTTATTTGTAAAGTTAATTAATGATCAAGAGTGAAGTGTACACATTATAAGCTAATGAATTAAAGGCTAAATTGTTATCTTTGAACTTCAGTCGTTTACCTATTCCCAAGAGCCCCTCTTACGATAACAGCCGTACATAGCATTTTCGGCACGGCGTCACAACTTAACACTACGGAATCTAAATCTGAAATCCCAATTCTCTATCTTTGATAGTTTCCGAGATATCCGCGTTCATATTTACGATTTTTTGAAGTTTGTGGGCGGTTTACGGGCGTTAAAGTGGGCGTGGCAAACTTTTTTTTGCATCAATCGATAGGAATTGATGAGAACAATAAATTTCAGTTAAAATTTGTATTTCAGCATCAAAACTGTAGGAGCCACCGTTTTGAGCGGCTTGTGGGCGTAACAAATAAACTTGCACTGCACAGGAATCTCAGGAATCTGCATGGCTAATCCCAGTATTGCAGCTCTTATTGTTTCCGAGATCTCAGCGTTCATACGGACAGACGGACATGGCTAGATCGACTCGGCTAGTGATCCTGATCTAGAATATATATGTGAGCTGGTAGATTGGACATAGGTTGGCAGTCCTTATCACGCTGCGTTCTAAAATGATATTCGACAGTCCACCACCATCAGCCGAATCAAGAAACAGAGAAGTTGTGAAACAAAGTCGTTGGTCAAAAAGTAGTAATTTCAGTCGCAAAATCAGTTGAAAAGTCGCGTTAATCAATATCAAAACTTATGTAACTCTTATATATTCAAACTATTATATTCCTAAACTTTATTAATAAACTACAGATAATATCCAATTATCTTACATGGGGGCTCAACCGTCGAGCAAGTGAAAAATCTGTTGGTGTGAGTGAATGTCGTTTGATTTCGGGGAAAAACCGAACACTTTGAATTGGACACTACAAAAAAGTTGGTGAAAATAATTCGCTCCGCGAAAAAGAACAAAAAACGCAGTCCAGGTGGAAACCAAAACAACCAGAAAATGAAACCAGAAGATTCGCAAAATGCAGCAGCAGTGGTAAACATGAATCATACTTTCTTTGTGCCGCCTGAGGAGGAAGAGAAGGGAAATAATATCGAGGAGCAAGTTAAGTTCGCTAGTAGTAGTGATTTAACACACGAAGCTGAATTTCAACAGGAGCTGAAATACAACAATAATCGCGAAGAAGTCTACACCAACAGCAGCGAGTTGAGCGAAGTGCTAAAACTGCTTGCTACAAAAATTGTGCAAAGTGATTCAAGCAGGACCGTTGTTCCAATTGAGAGCTTCTCTAAAGTTGTCTCCGATTTTGATGGAGTGTCAATTCCAATTAGACAGTGGCTTAAATGTTTCAACGAAAACGCCAGTGCCTACGAGCTAACGTTGAAGCAAAAATATGTGAACGCTCGTATGAAAATGAAGGGAACTGCAATGTTATTCCTGGAGTCCACCACTGTTTCGGACTATGATACCCTATGCGAAGTAATTTTGGACGAATTTGATAAGACGCTGACCAGTGCTGAAGTACACAAGCAGCTTCGGGAGCGAAAGAAAAACGACAACGAGAATTTCCACGAATATGTTTTGCATATGCGTAAGATAGCAGCTCTTGGAATTGTGGAGGATGAGTCGGTGATCCGATATATCGTAGATGGATTAAAGCTTCGTGACGATCTTAAATACCCTCTATACAGTGCGACAACTTTCAAGGAGCTACGAAGCCGATTTGAAACGATCGAAATGATGACGAAATCCAACATACAGCGCAATCAAGCAGTGAATCAGAAATTAATGTGAACATCATTATTCTATTCGACTTCCTAAAAAAGTTTACTGTTGTCCTGGAGAATGAAACTACGCTTTTAAACGAGGAGATGACACCGTTGCCGAGAACGAACATAATATTTACAATTTGGTAAGTCATGAACTAGAGCTAGGCGTTCCAGGCGAATACAAAACTGCAGTCAAGCAAATGGTTGATGACTACAAGCCGTCTGACGTGAAGCTAACCTGCCCTGTAAAGATGACAATCATCCCTAATTGCACCAACATAGCTTTTAGAGAACATCCAAGCCGATCTTCAGCAGCAGAGAGGGAAATAATTCGCAAGCAGGTGGAGGAATGGCTGCAGCTGGGAATTGTAAGAGAGTCATGTTCAGATGTTGCTAGTAAAGTTGTGCTAGCCAAGAAGAAGGATAAGACATACAGACTGTGCATAGATTACCGTATATTAAACACCAAGGTTCTTAAAGATTGATTCCCAGTTCCACTCATAGACGAAGTGCTTGACAAGATGCAAAATGCGAAATATTTTTCAGTCTTCGATCTCAAGAATGGATTTTTCCATGTCGAAATCGATGAAGCCAGCCGAAAATACACTGCATTCGTGACCAAAGAGGGTCTATTCGAATACAACAGAGCACCATTCGGGTATTGCAATTCTCCCGCAGTTTTTGTAAGGTATGTTACTTATATCTTTCAACATCTGATAAATGCAGGTATTATGGAAATGTACATTGATGGCATTGTTGTTTTTGGACAAACAGCCGATGAATGTCTAAGCAACATGGAACGCGTCTTGAAGCAGGCCCAGCAGTCCGGACTTGATATAAGGTGGTCTAAATGCCACTTTCTAAAATAGCGTATCAATTTTCTTGGGTATTAAATAGAAAATGGGCAGATATGGCCAGGAAAAGAGAAGATCATGACAGTCAAAAACTTTCCTATGCCGGTCAACATCAGAGGTATACAGGCATTCCTCGGTCTAACAGGGTATATTCGCAAGTTTGTTAAGGATTACGCCTTTATTGATAAACCCTTAACGCAGCTGCTAAAAATGGATGCTGTTTTCAAAATAGAAGGAGAACAGAAACAAGCCGTTGATCGATTAAAAGCAGCACTTATAGAGGAGCCAGTCCTGAAGGTTTGGAGTCAAGGCGCCAAAACTCAATTACACGTTGTTGCTTCAAAACATGGCTTCGGTGGAACGCTGTTGCATCAACATGCTGGGGAGTGGCACCCCGTTTTTTACTGGAGTAAGAAAACCACACCACAAGAAAAAAAAAGCCATCAGTTACGTGCTTGAGGTAAAGGTAGCTTTCGTAGCAACAAAGAGACTTCGCCATTATTTGCTGGGTATTGAGTTTGACATGGTAACGGATTGTGCAGCCTTCAAGCAGACGGTCTCAAAAAAAGATGTCCCTCGAGAAGTTACGCCGTGGTTGATGTACTTGCAAGACCTTACCTTCAACGTGGAGCTTCGCGCAGGAACTAGAATGCAACATGTCGACAGCCTTAGTCGTTTCCCTATAAAGATCGTGTCATCCGAAGTTAACACGCAGATCAAGAGAGCCCAACAAAATGATGAACATTTAATGGCTGTTCGGGGAATTTTGAAGCATGGACCGTATGCCGATTATATAATCAAAAACAACTTGTATATAAGCAAGTAAATGGGCAAGAACTTTTAGCTGTACCAAAATGCATGGAGAAAGAGATTATAACAAGTTCGCATAACTTTGGACACATGGGAACGCAGAAGACCATGCATGCAATCCAGCAGGATTTCCACATTTCCCACGTTGAGAAGAAAGTAATTCGGACTATTTCCAACTGTATCGAGCGCACCACACATAATCAGAAATTGGGGAAGCAGGACGACTTCATGCACGCTATAAACAAAGGAGATACTCCCATTTCAACGCTTCATGTGGATCATCTTGGCTCATTAGACATGACATCAAAAAGCTACCGCTACATTTTTGCAATTGTGGATGGCTTTTCTAAATGCACTTGGTTGTTTCCCACAAAGTCAACGAACGCAGAGGAAGCTATCAAACACTTGGAGTCCTGGGTCTCAATATTTGGCAGCCCACAGAGAATCATAAGCGATAAAGGAGCTGCATTTACATCACACTCTTTCAAGGAATTCTGCACAGCGAAAATATTGATTACAATGAGACTACAGCCGGTGTGCCAAGGGGCAACGGACAAATCGAACGGGTCAACAGAGTAATTATTTCAGTACTCTCAAAGATGTCAGCATCGGAGCCCGCAAAGTGGTATAAATACACGTCACAAGTACAGCAGGCCATAAATGCACATGTCC